CCCCGAAACCCCCGAAAACCCCCAAAAGGGTAAAAAAAAGGTAAAAAAAAAGATCAAAGCTGTTGCATTGCCCCAAAGTAGACCCTGTATCTCCATTGATCAACCCCCGTCTCCTAACTAGCGTTTCAAAGGTACAAATAATTTTTCATTCCGGCTCATCCACAACCTTCGAAGCTTCCAAAGAAAAAAGCGGATCACTATAACCCCCAGGGCTTCGGAGCTGCAACCTTGTTTGGAGCCAGTCAATACTAGTATAGTACTCGTATACTCGACATTACCATTGGCAGAGAGGGCTCCATGCCATATATCTATTATGATATTATTGAGAGCGGATAACCATCATCCAGGCTTCGGGCTCTCCGGTTCCTACTTTTATCTTTTATTGTTTATCTTTCTGCCTATATTGGAAAAAAAAAAAAAAAAAAAAAAAAGACCCCCGCGCCTAATAAACGTTAATTTATTATGTTGTAATTAATTAATTTGTTTAAATTTTTTTTAAACATATTCTGGCGCGTCAACAATATGCTATGCTTTGCTTCTTCAACCTCGGACCTTTGTCCGCCTACTCCGTACCAGTTCCGGAGTAAAGGGTGACAGCTTAACTGTATCTCTGCCCTTTCTAGCCAATATTTGGAATATGCAGGTACAACCGCACTATTGCCTGCGCGTCTATTTCCTATCCCGTCAATATTATGTACGTGATCTCGCCACTCGTGTCTGTCTGTCTGTATGTATGTATGTGTCTGTGCCTTTCTTGCGTGTGGGGGAGGAGGCAATAGTGCATATCGAGCACGGGTTGAGGAGGAATATTAAATTATTGTGGTAAGGATCTTCGTCCACGATCCCTTCGAGGGATTGAAATTTCCAAGGAGAACAGGAACAAGATATGTCAAGGGCGAAGTGAAGACCTTGCTGCATGGTGGGATGGCATTGGTACGCGCATCATGGGGGGAAACAAACCATCGGAGTGAAACATCGTCAGAGACACTGACGGGCTCTTTTCTCTTCTCTCTTTGCCCTGGTTCGGATTCATCCACCCTTACATTTTGGATTTCAGCTCCTCCTGGTTCTGTTCGCGAAGGGGGAAGACAAACGGAAACGATCCTCGAATGAATATTTTTTTTTAAAAAAAAAAATATATATCCGTGTCGTTGATGGGGTCGAAGATCACCGGCTTGCCCTTGTTCGCATGAGGGTCTGTACTGCACCATAGCTCGGAGGAATGTGACGTGGGTCCGCTTTGCGTCTTGGGAGGTGGTCCGACTACTCACTTGCATCTCTGTCTGTTCTACTCCGTACAACATACAACATAGTATCTTCATTCTACGTGAAGAAGAATCCGACTTTCAATGTCGGGGTTCGTATATCGTTGTTGTACCCTTTAAAGTTGAATGATAGGCAGGAATCAAGCGCCTCTTTACCCATGTTGAATGGCTAATCAGAATCGCAAACCACGCCTCAGAATCAACTGCATGTCTTCCATGGTCTTCCTTTTTTTTGGCCCCCCTGCAACGAAGATCTTCGCCTACAGGGTAGCCTCATTCGTCGACGATCCTTCTATTGTAGAGGAGTTGTCACTCCGCCTTATTAGCTCCATCCTCGATAGCCACTCACAAGCAGAGAATTATATAACGGTGGAAACCGGTGCTAGCTTTAACCTTAGCCAATCGAGAGGAAAATGCGGTTATCAGAAGCGTACGTCCATACAAAGGACATTTAGAATATACAACGTACCCATACCGCCCGCGCTTCCAGGGAATGAATGTTAATGAGGTTCCGCGCCTGCCCTCGAGATAATTAGCGTTCCCCGATAGATAGAAAACAGGATTAACTGTTTCAGGCACGGAGCTAAATCCGCAAATCTCCCCCGGTAGTCCGGTTAATAGTATTGGCTATATCCTCTGTATTAACGTTTAGCGTGCCTCTATTCTCCGGTGGTAACCTTGATGATATTTTGATAACAATGAAACACCGGATGAGAAACAAGATTATCGCAGGGACTTGCGGTCAAAACTGGCAGCAGGGGATCAGTTTCATCTTTACAAACCGGGGTTTATAGATGTCGGGATTTGTCACGGTCATACTTTTGCGAGAAGGTTAACTAATAGACATCTCCATATTGGATCATCGATGCATTCTCCCGTTGCATCAGAATTGAAGTCATTCGAGCTCGTATGTTTCAGTGGAGAGAGCAGAATTGGAAGGATTGCCAAGAAAAAGGGTCTTCTTCCATGAGCTCTTTGTTGCAAAATGTCCTTAGCATGACCAATGAAGAGATTGCGCTACTCTCGGATTGTTGATCTTGTACCCACTTAGGGTCTTGGTTGCTTTCATGCTTACTGCCTGTTTGGAAAGACCCTTATATCTGGGGCGTTTTAAGTGTTGATCTTAGCTGATTAGCTGATGTCGTGGATTTGATGCGAAATCCCGTGTCCTTTGAGTTTTGCGTTGTTTTCTTTTCTTTTTTTTTTTTTTTCTCCGTCTTCCTTCACTCGTATCAAGCATATGTAGGAAACTCTCTTGATTTTAGATTTCCTTAGCCGTCTGGAAAACGTGGTGGCCTGGGTCGTAACTTGTAGCTCATTGGGTGCTAGCTACGAGCCAGGGGCTGGGACGGAGATCTTCAGGGCGATCTGGTTCGGATTTACAACATACAAGCTTAGGCGGAATCTGGGATTGGATAGATATTGAATGTATGATTACGGGAGTATATGTTTGCGATATTATATTTGACTTTTTAGTGACGTATAATAGTATATCAATTTTCTATTAACGTGGTTTGAAATTGAAAAGGAGGCGTATGAATTGTGGTAGAAGTGAATATATGTAGGTTGATGGAGTATAGTATATATCACCACATCACACCACGTAAAAAAAAAAAAAAAAAGAATTCGATAATTCCACCCCTCCAAGCACCATAATGACAATCGTCACTCAAAATCTGATTCACTTCCCAAATCAAGTCGTGGATCGAAACAATTGAAGTCGAAGTACGGTTTCAGGTTGATGGAACCTCCGATCAATTCTACCAAAGCTGTCAGTATAGTGAACCTATTAAACTCTATTTTTTTTTTGAGCTCCATTGATGTACAAGTTTATTAGATTGTAGATTGTAGTTTCGCCCCCAAACTCTATTATAGAACCCGAACGTTGAACTTCTTTAAAGTATGTTGTACTCCGTAGTCCGCGGACTCCGTAGTTATCTAGGTACCTACCTAGATAACTACCTACCTAGGTAGGTATAGTTATATCATACGGTAAAAAGGTAAAAAAAGTACCTGAAGTGGAGTATCCATATATATCTAATCTCACCAATCAGAACAAAATAAAAAAAATTGAAATTGAAATCCCGGGACCCATTCTCTGGCCTTTTTGGCGCATCCAATTTTGGCAGCACTTTCGCATCAATCTAAACCATCCCAAATCGAGTTCGCTGCTTCATTACTTCGCTGGTAACTCCAGTCAATTCCTTCTCTTTGGTCAATCGTTCCCACACTACCCCCATTCTAGTTCTGTCGGATCCGGTTAATCAGTCCAGGACAGAGTTCTGACTTGAGTAAAAGTACACGGTCTATGGGTTTATCCATTGCTTTCCACTTCTTTTCCATGCGCTTGTCTCCACTTAAGAAAACGTGGATTGTTGATGTACCAAGGTATATTTTGTCCCGTCAATGCCAAGGTAGGCAGCAACTTTTATCGGTTTTTATAACATGAACCATTAACCTTAAGGTTAATATACCAGCCTTCCAAGGTTCTACTTCTATGGTACATTATGTACAATATACTACCTCTTTATTTTGGATATACAGATATAAAGATCGGTTTTCTTTACTTCATCGCTCCACCTGCGTTCCCTGGATTATATGAGTAAATGGCATAGTACATAACAGCGATCGGGTGAATATCGGTAAAATTTACAAGACTAAGCCTATTTCGAAAACCACCCTAAAACCAAAGAAGAAAAAGGAAAAAAACCCCCTAAAAAAACCCAAAACCACAAGACCATTCGGAACATATCCGAGTCGGGGTCGGGGAAGCTGGTAGACCCTGAAATGCGGTCCACGAGGTTGATCAAGCTGCCATTGAATTGAGAACGTTGCGCTAGCTTCGTGCCAAGTTAAAACTGTTCAGGGCAAGGATATTGTATATACCGTTTTAGGGCTGTCTCACTTTTTTTTAGTTCGCACTCTGAATTTAACATCGAGCTTACAATAGTACACCGTAAAAAGAAAGGAGCTATTATTAGCGAGCGGGAACATTATTGTACTACGGCTATGGAGTATGGAGTATGGAGTACGGAGTCCTCCGTACTCTCCGTATGCTCCGTACAACAACTTGATTTTTTGACACTGCGTCATGTAGTAGGATAATTGCTGGAATAGGGTTTGGGGGGATCGTGACGTGGGAGTTCGTTGCAGATTGCTTATTGCTTATTGTTTATTGTTCATTGGATTGTTTATCTATTCGAACAGAATGACAGGACTAACTGCCCGCCTTATCAGTGAGTTTAGCGCGTTTGACATTTATGTTGTAGACACGTTTATTATTTATGGATTAGAATATCCGGTGAATACCTAGGTACGGAGTCCTAGCTGTGATCTATAGTCGAGAATTTGATGCAACGGTAGTAGTCTGTAGGTATGTGCGCTGCCGATCAGTGAAGAAAGCTAAGACATCATCCTTGTTATACTAGTTCATGGGACAATTAGGGTTAATTTTTTTTTTATAAAGTCATGCCATGCGGCAGTATCTGACCAAAAAAGGCACTGTATTCGATAAGAATAGAATTGGCTGTATGTGGAGAGCTGAGATGAGACACAATGATCATAGCCCGCACGGGGGCAGAACCAGGTCGGAACACCCGACCCACAAACTTCTAGAAATAGAAGATCTCCAACTATGTTGCTATGTTGTATTGTATCCACTAGCCTCTTGTTGGATGCTTTACCAGGAATAGAAAGAAAACGAAACGTGAGGGATGAGGAGGTGATTCTCGGCCTCTAGAAGATGGAAGCACTCTCTTGGACGGTACGGTCGTAACAGACGGGGAAAAGTTTGGACCAAAATCCATAGAGTTCTGGTCTATCGTCCCGCACCTCAACCAGCCACTTGGCGAATGCAAACTCAGTCTGGAAAGGATTCTGACTTCGATAAGGAACGACCTGATCGATGTGAGTTATGGGACCCAGGTACGCTGAAAACAAGACAGTAACTCACCTCGGAATATCGTTGGAGAGCCTGATGATACTTCTCCGAAAGACCAAGCTTACGAAGAGTCGGCATGCGGATTCCCTTCGCTGCGGTGCTGTATGCATGGTTGATCTTTTCTCGCTCGGCAAACGAAGACTCTCCGATCACAACGCCGACTGGCAGCTTCTTATACTGATGGGCGTGAGCAACCTCGATAAGACGAGTGAGCAAGTCGGCTTCCCAGTTCTCGAAAAGAGGATGGCGGAATTCTTTGATGTGTCGCTGGAGCAGCCACAGTTCACGCTTCAGTCGGACTGTATTGGCTTGCAGCTTTGCGAGTCTTCGTTCGATCTGCTTGTTGAGGGTTTGAAGGGCATAGTGACTGGCGTCGAAGGACTGTATTGACTGTTAGTATCAACAGGGAAATTTCATACGGTCGATGTTTTTCCGATGCAGCAATACCTGGAAACTACCTTCATCATCCCACGAATCATCTAGGAAATGCCGGGAGTCCGACACATGAGATATATGACCATTTCCGCGAGAAATGGAGCGAGAGACTCGTCGGATGGGGATGCGGTCCCTTTTGGAGCTCATGTTGGGGGTGGGATCGGAAATGAATGAAAGGATTGGTTATACAATGAGTGAGCTCGAGATTGGGTGACTCGATTGGATTCTAATAAGAGAGGATGAGAGATAAAAGTGGCGATGACATGCTGAAGATGCAAATAGATTGTGATATAGTGATGGTGGTGATACGTCAAGTGAGGCGGCCCAGGAGGAAGGTACGAAGAACACCCGTAGTTGCTGCAAAAATATCTCAATTGATATGTATCATAAGTGTATAGACAGCTATATAGGCATGACTTCATGGGAATCGTAGCAAGAATATGTTCACAGCTTACTACCCGTAGACTTGCCAAACTCAATCACCAGTTTGCCGAACTGCGTGCCCTGCTTCATGTCTTCGAACAGCTCGTTGATTGCGGCCAAGTCATCTAGCTCAGTCTGCAGAACTCGCGACACCACAGGGTGGATCCTCTTAGCAGTAACGAAGTCAATCATCTCCTTGAACTCCTTTCGGGAGCCCATCGTGGAACCGCGGACGTCAATGTTCTTGAGGACAGCAGACATCGTAAATGCCATCTTAGGAGATACGGTCATTCCATAGATAGAAAGGACACCGCCAGCCTGTGAATATTAGACTTTCATCGGTAATTGAATAAATGTCCTATAGCACTCACCTTGAGCAACTTGACAGATTTCTCAATAGAATCACCACCAGCACCATCAATGACAGCATCGAAGTTCTTCTTCCCAGCTGGGAGCATACCCAACAGCTTCTTTTCCCAGCCATCTTCCTTATAATTAATACCGCCGGTCGCACCTAGCTCAACGGCCTTCTGAATCTTTTCCTGGCTCGAACTTGTCACAAAGACATGCGCACCTCTCGCAACAGCAAACCGCAGCACCATCAGAGCCACACCGCCACCAATGCCAGTAATCAAGACAGCAGCACCATCCCCAGAGTTCCTCTCACCGGCCTTGGTAATCAGAGCTCTCCAGCCTGTCAAGCCTGTCAGGGGCAGAGCCGCAGCCTCGGCATCAGAGAGATGCTCAGGGGCCTCCTCGACCTCTGAGTACTCGATAGTAATATATTCCTGCAATGTCCCCTTATCATAAGCCTCGGTGCCTCCCATGATTCGGTTTCCAGTGGCATCCTCCGGCCCGTCAGGCGAATCCTTCCAACCAACACTGGGGCTCAAGATCACCCGCTTCCCTTGCCATTTTTCTGGACTGGGGACGTTCGGGCCAGTGCTGACAACGGTACCGACTCCATCTGCAAGCAGGGGCACATCGAAGCTCAGGCCGGGGTAGAGGTGTTGGCGGATGAAGACATCGCGGTGGTTGAGCGCCGCAGCAGTCAATTTCACCAGTAGCTCACCCCCTTGCGGGGAAGGCTTGGGCAAGGTGCGAAGGGAGAGCGGGTAGTAGACTTGGCCTGGCTTGCCCTGCTTGCCGTCAATTGGGGATATATAAATTGCTTTAGACATTTCTAGATGTGCTAGATGAAGATATGTATCAAAAAATAAATTAATCTGAATGAAAACCTTGAAACCTTGGCCTTGGAAGTCAGGGCGCTCGTGCGGGGATGCTTATATGCTTATCGATAGCCGAGGTTGCTAGATTTGCTGATTGTGCGTCTTGGGACTCCGATTGTCCGAGACTACAACATACATGTTGAACAATTGATGGGAATTGGAAACAAGTGTCCATATACCCTGATATATTTCAGAATGCAAAGCTCGAATTGAAACAAAATGAGACACATGAGACTAAAAGCACCAAGATTCATAGCATGCTCGCCTAACATCAGAGCATGTGGGATGTTCTTGGTAGCTGCTGTTTTATAGTAACCTTTGATTGTTTTTACATTACACTTGTATGCTACATATCTAGCTAGTGGATCGAGAGAGCCGGTTTAGAAATGCTTAGATATGTCATCTGTTACTGGTTCTGGATTGTCTGATGATATATATTCTAGCTTCGAACAGCAGAGTAATCTGATATTGAGCATATCCATGAAAAAACCATGCACATCAAATAACGTCTCCTGTTATTTTGGTGCCTAGCCTTTTTGCAAGGTCCAGAAACAATGATATTGGAACCAACATAAACGAGACAGGCTGAGATGAAGGCCTGACCTGCATGGCGAAGATCTAAGCATATCTAACATCACTATGCATGATATAATTTGAGTATGCCTCAATGTTTATTGTGTAGACAAAGGGCAATTTACCGTAGGATCATAGGTTATGGATTCTTATAGATTAGCTGCACCTTCTATCCTAGCGAACCATAGTCTACGCCATATCAGAGCTTAGCATACCACTGACGACTCATAGATGGCAGCGCATCAAACACGTCGACTCAGAAACTGCTATAAAAACACAAACATTCACTTCGATCTCATTCCTCTTTCACCTTTCATCCCATTGACTACCCAACTCTAATCAACATCAACCATCTTTATCGACTTCCACCAATTTCCATTCATATCAACCATGGCCCCGCATAAGCCCATGGCCGTGTCTCGCCCTGCCAGTCGCAGTCGGGCAGCTGCCGAAAACAACTTCAAGGATAAAGAGGTAATCCTCCTCTGGAAGCTGAACAACAAGGGAGTAAGACCATTCCACCTTCAACTTGACTGATTGACTCCCGTACTGAATTCGTATTTCTTACAGGGCGATATCGCAGCTGTAGCCAAAGAGCTTAACATTACTGTGGGTGCTGCTCGCATCCGTTGGTTCCGACTGAAGGCCAAACTCGAGGCCTTCGAGAAGAAGGTAGCCGGAAAGGAGACCACCACCACCACCACCGCCACTACCACCGCCGCTGCCGCTGCCGCTGCCCCTGTCGACACTACTATGGAGGACACAGAGGGGGCTGAAGAAACCGACGAAGTCGAAGGTGGCAACAATGACGAGGATGCGAAGTAAGCATCTTGACAGCTGCTTTTTATGTCTCTGTCTGTGGAGCGCTATGAGGGGAGTTTTCGGGATGTATTTTGTTCTTCCAATCTACAACAATAAAACTCATACCATGATCTATGAAGTTATTGACCGCATAACTGGGTGGGCTTTGGGCTTACACCTCAGCCATAAAGCAGAGACTACAATAATGCCAAATAAAATATCAGCTTTGAAGCTTTCATCATTCATCATGAAATTGCTCGTTAAGCTAGGATTCGACGAGCCTCCCAATACACCAAAAGCCGCAAGTTAAACATAGAAAAAAAAGAAAAACAGAGAGCGTTTCTGGGCCTCTCACATGGAAACGACAGCCATTCCAACATATCTTTCCATATCTGGGGTTGGCACCCCAACTCAAAGAAGCCACAGACCAGAAAAAGAAAAAGAAGTAAGAGAAAAACAGCATGAATAGTCCTTCTATTGAAAAATCAAATACAACCACCAATCAACCACGGAAAAGACTGCTCACTTCCTCCCGCACACCCAGCCAAGCCCACGCTCAAACCTCGGACGACAGCGGTGGTGAAAAACACAACGTGTCTCATCCACAGCCCCTGGCATGGCCTGGGTGGAGGTCTCGGTAGCAGTGTCATTGTCATAATGAGTATAATATCCGGAGCTATCAGCGTGATACCCATCCATGAAGAAACAGATACAATGTGGGATATCAGGTCTGGGAGACGTAGACTTGGACGAAGACACTGGCTTTGGAGGAGGCACCTGCTTGCGAGGAGAAGCAGAGCGCCTGCAAGTGCATATCCGGTCCGGTTTGGCCCGCGGGCTGTGACGGGTCTTTTCACTCGACCGGGGAGAGCGAGTCGGAGTTGGATTCGGTATCGGCACTGGAGAACGCGCAGGCATCGAAGCTCGACAGAGCTCCGGGTGGCTTTCGCAATATTCCGCCTTGCGACAGTAGTGGCGTTGGACTACCGGACCGGGGCGTGGTGCTGTCGTGAACGATGCACGGGCGGAGTTGTATCTCTGGTCTGGCATGGCAGGTGGGCTGGGAGGAGGTGCATGGACCTCACATTGGCATATCTCCACTCGCTGATGGTGCTCTGGTTCGCGCTTTGTTGTGCGCTGCCCGGCCCGGCGTCTTCTGGGTGGTCCGTAGTCTGAGAAATCACTGCTGTTTGGCGTGGTGGGACGTGTGTCATTGGAACGACGCTCGCGTCTTGTTGATTGACGGCTACCATAGCGTTTTGTGGCTGATTCAGAGCTAGAATAATCACTGCTGTTTGGCGTGATCGGGCGTGTTTCATGCGAGTGACATGGACATTCACACCGAAGATTGCAAGTGCAGATTGCTTTCTCCACCTGCGGAGGGGATTCAGGCTCGCGTCGAATACCATGGCATCTTCCGCAGTACCTGCTGGCTGCCCCATAACCAGGGAAGTCAGTGTTGCCTGGGGATTGGCAGCGTGTCCCGTTGGGGTGAACCTCGCATCTATTGCCGCAGGAGCAAGACGCCGTTTCTGGAATGGGAGATGGCGATGGGCATCGACTGTGGACACAAGGATCCATCTCAGGCCCGTAACGAACTAGCCTGATTCGCCCGTTGCGAGAGTGTCTCTTTTCCATTGGCTCGCCAGCGAAGTACCAGCCATATTCTGTCTTTTTGGGTTTCAATCGGCCAGTGAATCTGGACTGCGCCATCGTCTTTGATCAAAGATTGATGAGCTCTTGGATATTGAAAGACACGAGCCAGAAAATAACCTTTGTTGTTGCAAGAAAGCTTATAGTTCATAAAAACCTGACTGGATTGTCTTGGAGCGAAAGAACTGTGAAGAGGGAATTGCCGGAGAGGGGGATGTCCATTTTATAGAGTCTTGATAACATCTTTGAAGCTCTAAGAAGGCTCTGAGTCTAAGCCCATCATATCAATTGGGGCTAAGACATTTATTTTATTGTTTTGTGCCTCTGTGTTACTGCTAGAGAGAGCAAAAGTGAGCAAATCTCAGAAAGCATTGTCTGGTGTAAAATGAACCATCAAAGGACAAACAGGGGTAGTAGAGATATACAAAGAGCAACACGATGATCTAGCCCTATTGACAAGGCACAACAGATAATGGAATTCTTAATCCAACCGGATTCCAGCCCGAATCTAAAGACATAATAAGGCCGTTGAAACTTTTTTCAAGACAGAGAGCATGTTTGCCCAGCATTGCAAGAGGTTGGGGAGAAAGGGATGATATTGCATTCGCATGCATTCAACCCCCCTCTATTGCATTTGTGGCACATCTATTCCGTAGATGCTCTCCTTTGTATTCTTTTAGACAAAGAACTAAATCCCTACGTATATGTAACTGTCAACTTGTCTGAAAGGTAGAACTCCCAATCAAAAGAGGAACGTGGTTGTTGTGTGGAATACACGTCTATTCTGTTATTTCCACATCTCTCTGTTTGCGTCAAGCCACCTAACTGGATACGTACATTGCTATCAATAGTCTTTTTAGGGTAGAGAAAAAGTAGAAATCAGGCTCAAAATGGATTTTGATTTATTTAGAGGCAGCATTATCATCTTTTTATACAATGTCTCTTTTCCTTTGCTGCGCAGGATTGGGCACAATGGTGCAAAACAAGGTACAAGGTACATTGGGCAGAGTAATGGAGAGACAGTGTTGTGTGTGTATCAGATACCTATTTCTTGGCAGTATGTAATTGTGGTATTCCCAATACACCACACTAACCACTTTTAGACGGCAAATCACGCGATCACTGGTAAACCCATACCTGGTATTTACCACAAGGTACGCGTATTGCCACGGCCACCGCTTAATCATTTTTGCTCCAGGAAACTTCCCAAGCGAAATCGAAACTCGATCTCTCTCTTTCTCGACCTTGTTAGTCTGGCGCTCGCATATCTGCATTACCTCTCTTACAGCTCTCCGCTTATTCGATTGACTAGCTCCTAGCTGTCATCCTCCAACTCTACGCCAATTTTCCAATCTCGTGTCTTGCAACTCATCCGTTCGCATCACACATTCTCTTGCAAGCCCGCCACAGGTTTCGCGATAACTATCTCAGAATCTGTTTTTACGTGGGGGATCAACATCCGACCATACAAACCTCTTTACCACAATGCCTACACCACTTCCATCGAGTTTCGCTTCGGCCGCTGCCGGTAACACCCAAGACCCCAGTCGGAGGGGGATGGTTCGACTAGCGGAGAATGGTATGCAGACACCGTTTCACCTTCCCCAAAAACCCTTCCATTAGCTGTTGTTTAGCGGACTCGGTCCAATATCGTTCCGTGCTGCTCTGGCCGTCAATGTTTCAAGCTCGAGATATCCGATTCTAACCTTCAATGCCCACTAGGTCTCGAAACCGCATGAACGGAGCTACGCAGACCTTCCGCCGTCCTTCTGTTGCTACCACCCCTTCTCACCACCGGGATAGTAGCCAGCCTGCATCTGCTTCGACACTCACGGCCGGCGGCGCGTACATCCCTCCACACCTGAGCTCAAATTCTTCCAACATTGCACGGAATGGGGACGCCCGGTACTCCAAGGATCAACTTCTAGAGCTGTATAAATTGCAGCGGGAGGAGGGTACCTTGAGTAAGAACGTGGAAGAATACTTCGTGGCCGACTGGGACCCCCACACTGTGTCAGCTCCTGTTAATGGAGCATGGGGGAAGCGGGACGACCACAAGAACAACTCTGCAGGGCCCGAGGTTTGCTGGGATCATGGCGGCCAGGTCGAACCCCTCGGAATCACGGGTATGACGGAGGACGAGAGAGAGGTTCGTGATGTGTCCTTTGGGGTCTGAGTGAGTGCTCTTACTAAAAAAAAGCTTAATAGATGTTCGCCGCTTCAGTCAACTCCCCTCTGAAGCCACCCCCGACAAACGCTGCAAAGGAAAACGTCATCCCGGGTACTGGAGGTCGCAAGTCTTCGATCTCCTATCCTCAGGGCCATATCAATAACTACACCACCTCCTCCCCTACCGCCGGTCGCCCGGGTCCCCGACGCCGGGAAACGGGAGAGTCGATTGGCAACCCCATGTCTCCTACCGGTTCCAACTCCCGATTTTTCCGCGATGAGGCTAATACTGCTACTCCTCCACCGGCCCTGTTGCGTCGCAAAACTGATTTCCGAGAACCCAACACAAAGGTGGAGGAGAAGGTCAAGGATAGCAGGGAGGATCCTGCCTCTCCCTTTGGATCTCTGAAACGCAGCTCCACCAATCCCGTCAACACGGGTGTTAGTGGACCGAACTCCCCCTGGGGTTCGGCTTCGCATAATGCCAATTTCTCCCCGATGGGTGCCTTTGGGGCTTTCTCTCTTGGTTCCGGCTCCGCCTCTGGTACTCCTACGACCGAAAAGAAACCGGGGTACGGAAGTCTGCGCGGAGAGAGTAGATTCAAGGGTTTGCTGTCCAAGGATAGCTCCGAAGATATTGCCGGCTCCGCCAAGGAAAAGCCCATGGGCAACCTTGAACGTCTTGCTGAAAATGACAGTGATGGGCGTTCGCAGTCGCCCTGGGGAGATGCCGTCAAGACTCGTGCCAACCGAAGCGAAACTAATCCGTTTGACGAGCCTCGCAGTGGCAGCGCTGCTCTTGGCGGGTCTCAGGATGTTGAAGGTCCTGCTCAACCTGATCTTGGGTTTGGCGCATTCGGCATGACCTCGAGTATTCCTGGATTCCGGGAGTTGATGCAAAGCCAGGAGAACTCGCGGAACCCAACTCCCAGCCTGCTCCAGGGCCACGAGCCAAATAGTCCAACCAACACTAATCCTTACCAGAGCCCGCATGGTGACCGGCATGGCGAACGTGCGGAACCCGAAGATGTCGACACTGACGGATCGGATATCCAGCCCGCCCAGCATCCCGGAATCAGCGGACTTCGGGATCCCTCCAACCCCTTCGGCTCGATGAGACGGGTTGGCTCAGGCATCGACCTCCCCACTGTGGACCGCAGCCAGAACTCCAGCGTCAATGCCAACCGCACTTTCTCTGGTCTCGGTGGTCTCGGTGGTCTGTCTTCTCTGGGTGGAGGAGCTTCGACTTGGTCATCTGGTGCTGCCGTCGGGACCCCCACTCGTGAGCGTTCTGCATTTGTTGGTGGTTTCGGTGACCCCATCTTTGGCTCCATGGGCGATCTTCAGTCTCCTAGCTTGTCGACCCTCGGCGGAGGCGGTTTATTTAGCCCCCCACACCGGTATGACTGGCACTGGAAGCATCGGCCGATCGAGCAAACTCGGTGCCCTCTTCTCTTCCATGCAGGACGAGCAAGGAAGGCCCGACTCCGTAGGCCTAGATGGACTTGACCCATCGCAAGGCGACAAGGCGGGCCAGGCAAGCCACCCTGGCTCAACGCCGGCTTCGCAAACACCTGTCTCGGCCGTTGGGTCTATTCCAAATCTGGCCGGTCATGATATCCCTTCCAGTCAAACTCCTGGTGTAGGCATCCCTGCTTCTCAGCAGCGTACCATGGTAATGCCGGATAGGATGCGCTGGATCTACCGGGACCCGCAAGGGAATATCCAGGGCCCGTGGACTGGGCTTGAGATGCATGATTGGTTCAAGGCGGGCTTTTTCAGTCCGGACTTGCAAATCAAAAAGCTCGAGGACACCGAATTTGAGCCATTGGCCCAGCTAGTGAGACGTATTGGGAACTCACGCGAGCCATTCCTTGTTCCCCAGATCGGCCTTCCTCATGGCCCCGAACCGACCGTTGCCCAGTGGACTAACACGACCGCTGGGTCTGCTCAGCCTCCCTTCCCGGGTAGTTTCCCGAGCTTCGGCACTACCTTGACAGCTGAGCAGCAAAATGCGCTTGAAAGACGCAAGCAGGAAGAACAGTACCTGATGGCTCGACAGAAGGAGCACTTGGCTCAGCAGCAGGCAATCATGAAGCAGATGGCTCCTCCTGGTGCTCCCTCATCCTCCATGAACCCTCCGCTGCAGCACCAGTCTAGTGCACACAGCCTTCAAAGCCAGCCTAGCTTCTCAAGCATCACTTCACCGGTTGGCTACCAGCCATCCCCGATCCAGGCTCCCTTGCAGCAGCAGTCCCAAGGCGTCCCCGGATTCTTTGATGGTGTTGCACCGAGACAGGGCGGTTTGAACGTGGGACCCGGAATGCTAGGAACGGATTTCGGTAGCCAAGATCAACTCCCCGCTCTACTTGATCGCCTGAACGTCGGCCGCCAGGATCCGTTTGCCTTTGGCAGTGCTGGTTCGTTCTCTGGCCGCCAGCCGGATAACTTCTTGCAGTCGCAGCAGGTTACTCAAATGCTTCAGGATCGTGCTCAGCTTCAGCAGGAGCAGGAAGACTTTGACAAGGCCCATGAAGATGATCCATTTGATCAGCACGCTCGCGAGGAGCGTCTTCGCCAGTTCCATGCCCTTCGGGCCCAGGAAGGCGAGATGGGAATGCGCACCGCCGAAGGCCTGCCTACCCACCCTGCCGCTGCATCTCAGCAACTCGAAGCAGAGGTTGCGGCCGAGATGGAGGAGGCAGCTCAGCAGTTGACCGACTCTGTTACCGGTGCTGAGCCTCTTACCCTTTCTCAGCAGGTTCACAAGGCTGCTTCTGCTCAACGCCAGCAGCAGGAACACGACCAAAGCCATGGCCCTCCTGAATCGGTCTGGGGAAACAAGGTTGACCACGCCATGCCCCAACCTTTCCCTCCCCCACCCTCCGCATCGCCTCTCCCTGCACCTACCGCCCAGCGTAACCGCCAAAACGTTGCCGAGTCTCTGGCCACTGGGTCCCGCTCTCAGACTCAGACTCCCGTTGACGCTGCGCCTACCTCTGTCGCACCATGGGCCAAGGAGGCAAATGACTTGCCCAAGGGCCCCTCTCTCAAGGAGATCCAGGAAGCCGAGGCTCGTACTGCCGCCCAACGCGAGGAAGTCGCCGCTGCGGCACGCCGTGCCCAATTCCTTGCGGAGCAAGAACGTCTCAGCCAAGCGCAGGCACAGGCAGCTCCTGGCCTTCCCTCGTCAGCCAACTGGGCTAGCTCTGGATCTCCCGCCACCCCTGCCTCGGCCGGCTCCCCTTGGGCCACCAAGACCCAGCCCGCACCCACTGCCACTACCGCTAAGAAGACTCTGGCTCAGATCCAGAAGGAGGAGGAGGCTCGCAAGAACCGCGCGGCGGCTGCTGCCGCCGCCGCCATGGCTGCGACCCCCAGTCCTCCCGTTCCTTCCTCTGTTGGAAAGCGTTATGCCGACCTTGCTAGCAAGGGCCCTGCTCCCGTCACCGCCGCTGGCCAGGGCTCCAGTGCCTGGACCACCGTTGGTGCAAGTGGCAAGGTTAAGGGTGCTGTTCCCACTGCGCCGCCCCTCGGGCCCCGCACAACCAGCGGAAGCGTCCCAATCTCGCCTCTTATCGCTAAGCCCCGCCCTGTGACCACTACCCGTGCTGTGACAGGCGGAAGCACCCCTCAGTCCAACCCCAACCAGGCCCTTGAGGAGTTCACCAAGTGGGCTACTCTGGCTTTGAGCAAGGGGTTGAACAGCAGCATCAATGGTGAGTTTCGTTCTCTTCATTCAACCCACACTGTCTCCATACTAACATATCATTACTAGTCGACGACTTCGTCCAGCAATTGCTCTTCCTGCCCGCGGAGGCTGAGATCATCTCCGACTCCGTTTACGCCAACTCCCAGACTCTGGACGGCCGTCGCTTCTCGGAGGAATTCATCCGCCGTCGCAAGCTTGCCGATAAGGGCATTGTTGACCCTGTCTCACCCAGTGCTTTCGGTGAGCAGAAGAACGGTGGTGGCTGGAGTGAGGTTGCCAAGAAGGGCTCGGCTGCTACCGTTGCGGCTGCTACTCAGCGTGAGGAAGAGGCCGCCAGCTCTGCGTTCAAGGTTGTCGCTCCTCGCAAGAAGGGCAAGCGCTAAAGGTGTGCATTGACTTTTTCTATGCGAGGCGGTCGTTTATCCTAGTCTTGTTGGCTAGCTGGGTCGGATTTTGTTGTTTCTATTTATGTGAGATACGTGTGTCCATGTCTGTTGCGTGTCTTCGCGGCGCTTGTGTATCATCATCATACTCCTAGCAGCATTGATATCGGTTCTGCACTGTGCTTGTTTTTCGGACGTAGAGAGTTATCTGTCTTGTAGCAATATCGTAGACCTTGCAACCTTGCAACCTTGGGAAGCATATGAAGCTGGTTCGGCACATTCCGGTTGTGGGAGCTGGCCTTCGACCACTCGGTCCAACTGCTGTAATTGATGTCTTTGGTCTCACAGTTGTGTACTATGAACAAAGCATTCAACACAGTATAACCAACAAGATCACCATACATTTCAAAACCACATCGCACAGTGAAGATATCCAAAAAAAAAAGAGACATCTAAAAAGGCCAAAAACAGAAGGCCGCATAAGCAGCCAACTATTCTTGTGTTTAATCGGAGTCCGGGGTACTTAAAGCAGTAGGACTTATTAGTTCCTACTCATTGTACCAGCAGAGAGTAAGTCTTTAATTTTTTGATCTTGTTTGAACTTTAGAATCTGATTTTCAAGAAGAATAAAAGAATAAGACTATTGAAACAAGAACTCCATGAGATCGCTATCAAAGGGTATCGCATCTAAACACCATCACGAACTACATAGTATGATAACTAACATCCAAAACAGCAACAAATATCCAATCCAATGGTCTCAACTGCTTCCAGATCAGTGATCATGAAAAGAAATACCTCAGACCCCGATATTCACATTTGAATGTGGTTTCGTTTCTCCACCGCGACGGTGCATAAGATCGACAATACCGAAATAGCTAGTGACTGCAAAACCCTATACACCACACAGGTCACAATTAGCTCTCTGTCCTAAGACCAAAAATCAAAAATCAAAAGATAAAAGACATAAATTCTCACCATTCAAAAGACCCAAATATCGTTGCTGCCTGGAGTGAGCTGTATGCACTGCCATGACTGCCATAACGCCATCTCGGCGAAGGCAACATCGCTCCCATAGCGATAAACCCGGCAAACCAGAAGATCATGGTGATCACTTCAACAGCAGGGATTATATGATGGTGTGCAAGACGAGGCAACCATATTGGTGAAATGACAAGGTAGGGCACTGCTACAAAGGTAGTCCAGCAACCGAGGAAAAGGAGGAAGTTGACGGTATTGGAGTATGACCATTCATTGTAGAATGTTGACACCACTGGAGACTTGTTAGTATTTATGTTTCTTATGTTTCTTATGTTTTTCAATATGAACGAACCATATCCTGTCAAGCCGATTACGATCACGCCAAATAGTGCTTGCACGGCTCGGACGGGGTATATCCACGGGAAGGTCATCTTCGATGGATGTAAAGGTTAATGTGGAGAATATCTGTAAGAATAGGATATCTGTAAGAATGTTAGGGGAGAAGAAGAATATTTTGTAGAACAAGCAAGGTATGTTGGGTTGACAATAGGGCTGACGTGGGGTATATTTCTTTTCTTTATTTAACTGATTACTAGTTATATCCTATATTATATACTGTTTAACCTCTTTATCCATTAAACTATTGCCTAAACACTGCCCTGGTAGTTAGTTATTTAGTTATTTATATATCTTTCTGCCTATATTAGTTTACTAACTAGTATGTAGAATGTATTCTTGGGCTAAATCATGTGAAAGCCATATGGAATTATATATAACATAGTTATAGAATATATGTCCCTACTGAGTATTATATAGAAACAAAGCATCTGGGACAATGGATTCATTCCTATTGTGGCTGCCTAAGACGCAAGGGCCGGGTTGATGCTGGTTTGTCCTCAACCCCTAGACTCCATAAAAATAAGTATGTTGTATAACAGAGACCAATGAAGACTAGAACATCAATTAACCCTAAAAGGAATAAACTATATATCATGTCCAACATATTTCTAAAGAATAGACTCGGATAACCGAGCATATAGGTGTGTAGGTGTCATTTGTATCAATTCATCGCTCATGCCCCCCTGTACAGATTTATGCAACCCCAATTACTTCCCAGCCTCCATGATATGAACATAGTAAATCAATAATCACGGAAAACAGCAACCATATCATCTAATCGAGAGACCTCCGCCAGCAGCAAGGCTTCCTTGGCCTTCCAGTTGCGAAGATGTTCTAATTCCGCCTCCGAGAGGAATTCTTCCTCGTGGCCCTTGACGTCCGTTCGTTCCGTCTTCTCGAGGAAATCTCTCTCTCGCGTGCGTTCAAATTTGATGCGTTGCAGGCATCGTGACATGGCTTTATATGTATCCTCCAGAATGCTGCTGCACACCCGATCTGGATCGTAGTACCACAGGTAGATCGTCTTGGAAGGCTGACGCTGCGCGTCACGCGGCACTTCCTGCAAGTCTACAAAGCCTCCGGTTTGCATGCTAGCAAGCGTCTGGCGCAGGTCTTTGAAGGGCAAAAGACTGATTTCCTGCAGTCGTTTCTCATCCAGCTTGCCCTTGGAATGCAGGACGCGGATCACCCGCAGTGCCACATCTCCGTACCGCGATTCAATCATGCGCTCCAATTCTAAATGGCGGAGCTTGCGGGACAGGCCTCGGAATGCAACTCGCCACGTAGGGAGACCCGAGATGACATGTTTTGTGGTAAGGTTCAAGGGAGGTTGTGAGAGAATACCGAGATGTTGGTCGATCTCGTAAGCGCGGTTCTGCTCGCTCGGTTCGTCTTCATGTTCATCACCATTCACGCCATTTGTATCGTCATCCAGCGGTCGCTTGCCGCGTTTGTTTAACACCGTCGAGGGCTCCATCGGGCCAATGCATCCTTTAAGATCCAGATGTGGATCAACGTCTTCGACAATTGAGCTCAGTTGGATTGGAGCCGAGTATTGCTCGCCTTCTTCTCCTTCGCGGGGGATCTCATAAGAGTCTCGGCAGCGGGCTGTTTGGTATTCAATGCGCCGAAGCAAACAGTCGTAAATCTCGACTGAGGCGGAAGGTGCACCTTGCTCAGCAAGATCAAGGAACCGCGTGTTCCGAAGCGCCACGTCGAGTTTCTCGTAGTTCACCCGAACGATAAGGTTAGACTATGGTAAATATTAGTGCTTGTTTCGAGGCTGCGGTAAGGAAGAACGAAACGCGCTTACATCCATTGGGGTTGAATCAATGCCATCTTCATCCTCGGACCAATCATTATCCTCATCCTCATCCTCTACATGGTCCCCGTTGACACCGTTGGTGCCATTTGGCGCCTGCTTATTAGACTCAGAGTTGCCGTGATCGCGTTTCCTTTTGGCACCTTGAGGGACGCCATTGTATATTAGGCCCCGGGTCAAATCTCCTTCAGTTCTTTCCTTGACCATATCCTTCGCCTTCTCCTCAATCTCCGCCGCTTGCTGTTTCCCCTTCATCAATTTGACATCTGGCCTTGATGCAATGATCCGGGAAGCATCGAGCCAGTTGTCGTTTGGGCTTTGGAAGTGTGCCTCTCGAAGGCGATGAATGTATCCGTGTGAAGCAAGACTCTTCAAGGTGGGGTGAAGGCGCACCGGTTTCTCGCTTACAACATGATCGCCGTTAGGCGCCGCGGAATCCTCTTCATTTTTCCCGTCTTGCTCGGGTTTAATTTCATTGTGGCTGGTGCCGATCGGAATGCGCTGCCTCTTGGATTTAAGTTCGGGAAGTGTCTCGAGGTGGGCGATGGAGGAGTGACCGAGCATCATGATCGCCTCCAACACCTGGGCAGCGTAATCCCCTAGTCGATTTTCAACGAGCTGGAGAATCTTTCCAGATCGCACGAGGGAGTATGCGGCTTGTGGATTACCTTCGTAGTAGGTATTGCCGTCATCGAGGGAAGTGAAGTGATAGATCAAGTGGTGTTGGATCATGGCGGAGAGGCCATGGTGCAATTGGCGATCTGTCAGGCGAGCATAGAATTTCAATCGAGGAAGAGTCAGTCTTTCGTAACGTTGAAGGACGGTAAAGATGCGCTGCGAAAAGTTGACTGGTTAGTCCAGTTCCTTCCCCCCACTGTCGCAAGTGAAACAGCCCTAGAATCTGCACAAGTTAACTCACAGCAAAGAGCTCCCCAAAATTGTCCTCGATCAAGAGCATACAGAGCTCGGCAGAGCACTAAGTTCATATCAGTAAGTAGAGCTCTTTCGAGGTTAGTGGGACAAGTCGCATACCTGGGACATCATGGTGGGCTAAAGATATTAGAAGATTCACCAAACCTCAAGAGGGGCCAGCCACTTTAGGGTCACCGAATGTTCATGAAGATTTCCAAGCTAGCAGAGATCTGCAAGTCCAATAATCCAATGCGCGATGAGATGCAGGTCCTCGGTTCTTTTGTTCTTTTTTTGCTTATCGGTATATTCACGTGACATGATCAATCAGGTGATCCAAATGAGAGAAGACATTAGGGAACAATAAGAAGAGATTCAATTCAATTGGAATAGAAAGTATAGTATATCAATGATTCAAATATACTAAATTAGAGACAATAAACAATTATAAATATAAAAGAATAAATAGAACAATAGAAGTAAACTCCCTTTCTATAGATGTTGTATACTCGCAACAAAAGTAACTCCGGTTCCGTCCGCGCTTTTGATTACTTGACCGCTGATTGGCTGGAGTGACGAGTCGGGATCTTGAAGCTTTTCGTGACCTCCCAAACTGCCTCTTCCCTCTTGCTCTCTCCGCATCCCACCTCCTCCCCCGCCTCATTTGCGCCTCTTTACAAACCCAATTCGGGTTTATATCTCTTCTTCTTCTCTCATATCTTCTCGGCACAGGCGACGATGCTGTCGCGGTCTTCCCTCAGCCGAAATGCGCCGCGTGCGTTCGCCGCCGGCCGTCGGTCCATGGCCTCCGCTGTCAATCCGGCCTTCCAGTATGATGTCTCCGAAGCTTCCGGCGTGAAGGTCGCCAACCGTGAGGTTGAGGGCCCTACTGGCACCCTGGCTCTGGTTGCAAAGGCTGGCTCCCGTTACCAGCCCTTCCCTGGTTTCTCCGATGCTCTCGACCGATTCGCTTTCAAGGTTGGTCCCTTGACATCAATTGATTCATCTTAGACATATTTTGATGATACTAATCATTCAATTCCTCCACAGACTACCCTCAAGCGGTCTGCATTGCGGATCACCCGGGAGTCTGAGCTGCTGGGCGGTGAAATCTCGTCGACACACTCGCGCGAAAACATTGTCCTCCGTACCAAGTTCCTCTCCAAGGATCTCCCCTACTTCACAGAGTTGCTTGCCGAGGTTGCTACCCAGACCAAGTTCGCAGGTGAGTCCATCCCTTTTTAATGAATGGTGGTTGGTAGAGCGCAATTATATGAGCATCCTTTGCTGACTCGGACCCCCCTCGGATGATATCAGACCACGAATTGAACGAGGTTGTCAGCAAGCTCCTCAAGTACAAGCAGCAGGCCGTCCACTCCAACCCAGAGACCGTTGCTGTCGATGCCGCCCACGGTGTTGCTTTCCACCGCGGTCTGGGCGCCTCCATCACCCCCTCCCAGTCTTCCCCCTACGAGAAGTACGTCTCCGGCGATGCCCTGGCCGAGTTCGCTCAGAGTGCCTACTCCAAGTCCAACATCGCTCTTGTCGCCAGTGGCCCCAACTCCGCTGAGGTCTCCAAGTGGGTTGGCCAGTTCTTCAAGGACACCCCCACCGTCAACGCCTCCAGCAAATACAACGTTCTGCCTTCCGTCGCCTCCAAGTACTACGGTGGTGAGCAGCGCATTGCCTCCAAGATCGGCAACTCTGTTGTGATCGCCTTCCCCGGTTCCAGCGCTTTCGGCACCGCAGGCTACAAGGCCGAGGCTTCCGTTCTCGCTGCTCTTCTGGGCGGCGAGTCCACTATCAAGTGGACCCCCGGCTTCTCCCTTCTGTCCCAGGCCACCAAGGGATTCAGCCAGCTCCGCGTTTCCACTCAGAACAACGCCTACTCCGATGCCGGTCTTTTCACCGTCACCCTGTCCGGCCAGGCCGACCAGGTCGGTGCCGCCAGCAAGAACGTCGTCGACGCCCTCAAGAAGGCCGCCGCCGGTGAGGTCGCCTCTGAGGACATCAAGAAGGCCATTGCCCTCGCCAAGTTCCGCGCTCTGGAGTCCGTCCAGACCCTCGAGACCGGTCTTGAGGCTACCGGCTCCGGCCTCGTCCACGGCAACAAGCCCTACCAGATCAACGAGATTGCTCAGGCTCTCGAGAATGTCTCCGAGCAGCAGGTCAAGGAGGTATGTTATTTCTCTCCCCGCATTCCGCATTGTTGATTATCATGATGCTAACAGTTACCCGCAGGTCGCCAACACCTTCCTGACTGGCAAGGCCACCCTCGTCAGCGTGGGTGATATCCACCAG